CAGTAAAGAAATCACAGGAGGAGAGATTGTCCATCTGTTTCCTGAAGAGCAGCTGTTGGATTCGAATTGCGTGCCTTTGGGTTGGAAGCATTGCTCCTGACCACTAAGCCTCCACCAGACCTTCCTTTGTGCATAAGTGGAGCTGTGGGAAAGCAAAGCCATGACTATTTTAAAGCGATGAGCTGGAATCCCAGTTAGATTTTTAGAGGCTGCCTTTCAGTATGGCAGCCCCCTTTCCTGGGTGCTGACTTAGCCTGGATGGGATATCTGATCCACTTCCAAGCCATCCGCGTCCTTACGCACAAATAGATACAAAATCGGAAGAGAAGGTCTTGAGATACGTGTTAACGAAAGCCTCCCAGTGCTTACTAGGAACCTCCAAAGCCAGAGAGGATTGAATAAGGAAGGGTGACAAAAAAAAAAATCTTGTCCACCCTTCCTTAATGAACTGGATGATGACCAACTTTATGCTTTTGACCGATCAAGTGCTACCCCCTGGTATGGACCAAATTCTTGGACTATCAGATTTTTGCATCTTGACATCCTGCTTTATGGTCTATCAGACACTTAAGAATTTTGAAAACTTCAGTCCTGATTCAGTTGTAAGAACGTGTCCTGCTTTGTGGCCCAGCTTAGTAGCCGTCTTCACTGTGAGAATGAACGTCTTCCTAGTGTGGACCATGTGAGGCCCTCAGGAAGCATCTTTGCATGTAACAACAAAAGCATGGTTCCCAAGTGATATGGATGTTGATTTAAAGGTTAGGGCAGCTGTTTACCGTATCCAAGAAGGAAATGACCACCTCACCCTAACGGGCCCAGGAATACATCCCCTATGACCGCACCGGGTGGCCTGGGCACCAGTCAGCCGAGACCAGGTGGCTCTCAGATGGTGTTTGCTGGGGGGCACGGGGTTCCAGCCAAGCGGACTCCTATCTGTGCTCGGCTACCGGGCACAGCAGCCAACCCAGAGCATGTGGAGCTGAGCTGGAGCAAGTGGGGGGTGAGGGAAGAAACAGAACAAGGGGTCTTGAGTGCCCAGACCAGGCCCTGAGCGAGGTGTGCCCCAAACCCTGCCCAGCGCTCACACCAGGAAGGGCTCACTCGCACAGCTCCTGGGAGGGCTTCCTGTTCCTGGTGATTCATGTTCCACAGGGATTGTGTTCTTGGAGGCTCGTTTCATTAGGTTTTTGGAACTGTCCTGGCAGGACAGGCCAGCGCTCTGCTGGGCTTACAATGGAGGGAGGGGACAGCAGTGACGTGGTCCACACATTTTGGGCCAGGAGCCACCGTGGCCTCTCCCGCATGGGCCCCCAGAGAGATCCACGTGCACGTACGTGTCCTGTACCACGTGTGGCCAGGAGCTGAGTCACAGTGCCCTTCTACAGGAGTGGGCACTGCCAGCTTCATCCCTCACCCTGAGAGGGGACAGCCTTCCCCCCTCACGGCCGCTGAGCTCTTGGGCTGCAGGATCCTCACTGAGGTTCTGTGTGGAAGCGATGCCTGACTTTCCCCATCATCCCAGACGGCCTCATACTTACTGGGTCACAGACAAGAAACGCTGGTCCCTCCCCAACACCGAGTGAGGGGGTGAGTGCCCTGGGCTCTCCCTGGAAGGTTTCCTGAGGTTGTGAAAGCTGGCACATGGTGCCCAAAGCGGAGGCTGGTGCCTGTGCCCCGCTGTCCCCACATCAACTTCAAAGTACAATCCTGCCCCCACCAAGCCAGCTCCAACTGCTGGTCACCCACGGGCTTCAGGGTGGAACCGCTTCTGTGCAGATCTATGACTAATTGTGTTGGAAATAGGTTGCTACAACTTGGTTTCTTCTTTTCTTTTTTTTTACCCCTTTCCTGTGATTTGGCTGTAAGTTTACAGAGCACATGGTCTCCTGCCACCTTCAAGCATTTCCTGGAGCTCAGGTAGCTCCTGCTCTGGGAGTTGTTCCACTCACCCAAGGGCAGCCCCTCGCTGGTGTGAACCGACCAGGCCCCGCAGGAAAAAGATGTTGTGTTGTTGTTATGTGTCGTCGAGTCGCTTGCGACTCATAGCGACCCTATGTACAACAGCCCTAAACTCAGCTCTGTCCTGTGCCAATCGCACTGTCTCTGACACTCCCATCCCAATTATCCTAATCACTGAATCAATCCACCTCATAGAGGGCCTTCCTCTCCTGCACTGTCCCTCCACCCTCCCAAGCATGATGTCCCTCTCCAAGGACCAGTCTCTCCTCACAACATGTCCAAAGTATGTTAGACGGAGCCTCAGAATCCTTGCCTCCAAGGAGCCACCCGGTTTAACCCTTTCCAGAACAAATCTGTTTGTTTTCCTAGCAGACCATGGTATTCTCAATACTCTTCTCCAGCACCACAGCTCAAAGGCATCAATTCTCCTTCTATCCTCCTTGGTCATTGTCCAACTCTCTGATGCATAACAGGTGATTGCGAAGACCATGGCCTGTATCAGACGCACCTTAGTCTCCAAAGAAACACCATTGCTCTTCAGCACTTTGGAGAGGTCCCTAACAGCAGACTTTCCCATTGCAATGCACCTTTTAATTTCTTGGCTGCTGGTGCCAAGACTGTTGACTATGGAGCCAAGCAACCTAAAGCTGTGTACAATCTCAATCTCTTCACCATCCATCCTGATGCTGCCAGTTGGTCCAGTGGTGAGAATCTTTGTCTTCTTGACATTGAGCCTCAATCCATATTGTAGGCGGACAAAGATAGGCAGTCAGGTACCCCGCGCACGCTGTCTTCAGCCTCCTGGAAAGCCGCTGGGGGTCAGCTCTGAGTCAGTTCTGACTTGATAGCACTGAGTTGTTTCCTGATGTTGTTCACCACCCCTGCAGAGTACCAGCGCTCTCTGGACTGTCTCAGGCGGGTCTTGAACCTCCAGAACCTTGCTTAGCAGCCAAGCTTGCTAACCATTTGTATCACCATTGTAGCATCTGGGAATCTCTGAGCATTTAACTATGAAGAGTACTGAGTACTCCATGGTCTACCAAAAGAACAAACAAGTCTGTCTTGAAGGAAGTGAAACCAGGATGCCCCTTAGAGACAAGGGGAGTGAAACTTCGTCCTACATACTTTAGATATGTTGTCAGGTGGAAAACAATTCATAGAAAAAGAGTTCATGCTTAGAAAAGTACAGGATCAATGAGAGAGAGACCCTCAACGAGATGGCTTAGCACTGACTGCAGGGCGGAGACTGTGAGGATGGCGTGAGAGGGCAAGGTCTCCTTCCATGCTAGTGAATGATTGAATAGAACACCAATTTACTATAAACTTTCACTCAAATCACTCACACACAACACACACACACGCGCACATATAGACACGTACAGAGATGTCCGAAGAGGCCGCTCTGGGGAGTGTGCTCTGTGGATTGATGGTACCTCCATCTGCTTTCCTGGTCAAATCTCCTCCCCTTTCATTCCATCCTTCCAGGGATGGTAATCAGAAGACCAGTTGGCAAAACAAGGTTTTATCTCTAGACTGGAACCCGCCGTTTCTGGCACCAGGCCCCTCGAGAGGATTGGCCCTGCGTGGACTCTGATTGGGCTCTAATTCAGACCCTGCTTCCTCCTTTCCCTAAGATCTTGGATGAGCTGGGTGTTTTGTTTTTTGGTTTGTTTTTTTTTTCTTCCCTCTCCATTTCTTTACCCACAAAAGAAACTAGAACCCACATCAAGCCCGTGGTCTCGGAGCGTTATCTGAGGACCAGAACTGTCTGACTGTCCCGTGTGTTTGCCAGTTAGTGGATCAATCAGGAATTTTCATCCACTCACACATTGAAAAAGGAGGCGAAATTTAGACATTGCTTCACAGATAGATACTGGATGTCTAGATAAGAAAAGGTCAGGCGCTTGGATCCCCCAGATGTTCCACGAGTCGAGGCTGTGGCCGTCTGCTCCTGGAGAATCTCACAGCTTCAGAAACATAAGGAGCAGTTCTGCTCTGTGCTGCAGTGTCACTAGGCGTTGCAAGTAACTCGACGTCAACCAGCTTGCATCTTAACAGAACTGATCACCAGAGCTTTTCTTCAGCCCTGCAGGGTAATTTCAGCCCTCAAAGCTTTGCCTCAGTGGTGGTGGTAGGTGCTGTTGAGTCCAGTCCGACCCGCTGTGACTGTGTGAACATCTGACCTGCACTCCGGCCTGTCCTGCACCGTCCTCATCTCTAACACGCTTGAGCCCATTACTGAAGTCACGGTGTCAGTCCTCCTTGCTGGAGTCTTCCTCGCCTTCACTGACCTTCCATCTTTCCAAGGGTGATGTTAGTAACAGAGTGCAAAGGATTTGCACGCCGCAGGGACCTTCAGGTCTTCCATAACCACCTGCTAGATATGCGTAACAACAGAGGGAGAGATCACGGGGCTCACCCTGGTGAACATGGGGAGAGGAGGATCTTTTGACGGTAAGATAATAACATTTCACATGGGTTTTCTTCTTTCTCTTCTGTGCAGATGACAGACAATTCTCCATGCCCTCCTCACAACGCTGGTGGCAACATGGAAGGCACAAGACTCCAAGGATTAGCGCAAGCGTCCTGCCCTGTGTAGAACATGTGGCCTCCGACGTCCTCCCTCCAGGGGCCGCTGGCTGGCCGTGAAGATTGATTTCCCCACCGTCTCTGTGTGTGGGAAGGAATATCACTGTTGTTATATTTAATTAGAACTTCATCAAGGGGCTTTGTCAGCTCTGTGGGGACTGCCGGAGACAGAGGCTGGTCTACCCTCTGGGAATGTGAATTGGAGGCAGAAAGGATGAACACACCGTGAACGGACCACTCGGCCTTGGTGATGCGCTTGGCGAGGCCCGGCACTTGGGTAGCCATCGCCCTGCAGAAGTGAAGGTGGCTTTAGTTGCAGGCTGAGGAGAGCCTGCACTCCCTTCGATGAGCCTCTGCCTTCGGGACCTTTATTCCAAACTCCTCCCCCATTAGGGGTGGTCTTCTCTGGTCCACCACTTGCCAGGAGGGGCCCGCCCATCGGGACGTGAAAAATGGTGACCAGGAGGAAGATGAAGCTGCTCACCTTCCTGGTTCTCCTCATCTTCATCTCCTTCTTCCTAAACTACTCCCACACGGTGGTGACCACCACCTGGTTCCCCAAGCAGATGGTCCTGGGGATCTCGGAGAACTTCTGGAAGTTCATGAAGCTCCCACAGAGGCCCTGCACCTGCAGCCGCTGCATCAGCGAGCTCCGGGTCTCCAGCTGGTTTGATGAGAGGTTCAACCAGACGGTGCCGCCACTCTTGACCTTGCACAACTCGCTGCTGGAGGAGGGGACCTACAGCTGGTGGCTGGTGAGAGCTGGGGCCTGGGGACGGGGTAGGGGGGATGGGGCCAGGGGACCTGGGGCCTGGGGGCCTGCACAGGGGACCCTGTCAGCACGTGGCATTGTGCAGAAGGCTGTTCTTCCATCACTCAGCACATTTGTGGGAGGTACAGGTGAGCCTCAGGGTTCCTCCATGTCCAATTCAGAAGACTGCAGTATAGCAAGTTTCCCACTAAAGCAAATTATGTGAGATTAGTGGTTTCCCAGTACTTAAAAGGAGCTCTGATGGCCTAGTGGTTAGGAGCTGCACTGCCAACCTGAAGGCATGCAGTTCGAATCCAACAGCTACTCTTGCAGGAGCAAGATGAGCATTTTCATTCCAAGCAAAAGAGCCCTGGTGGTGTGGTGTGTAATATATTGGATTGCTAACCAAAAGATTGATGGTTTGAACGCACAAGCCTCTTCATGAAATGGGCAGTCTCCTCCCAGAATTTTTAATAGCCTCCCCACCTAATCCTCAAAGAGTTCTGGCAGTAAGGTGGTTAAGGGCTCACATGCTAACTAAAAAGTTGGTGGTTCGAATTCACCAGCCTCTTCAGGGAAGAAAATGGGGAGTCTCCTCTCAAAATCACACACAGCTTCAGAAACCCGATGGAGGGTCACTGTGCCTAGACAGGGGTTGACAGAGTGGGGTTGTAACCAGTACAGATACCAAGGTACAAAACACGAGATCCTTGCTCTCCTGGGAATGCATTCCGCCAAGGATCTAGGAAGTGCGGTGAGGGTTTAGAGCCCTCGGTCGGCCCAGCTTTGGGGAACAGAAAACACAGTAGTGTCAGGCTGCACAATATCCCACTGTGTGAATGTACCATAATTTCTCAGTCCATCTGTTTGAGATTGGACATTGGGTTGTTTCCATATTCTTGTGATGGTGAATAACGTTGCTATGAACATTTTTGTGATCCAGAGGTGACCAGCTTTAGGGCGCACTGTACACCGGTGTCATCCGATTATCACTGTGACTCCTAGTGACCTTGTGGGACAAGATGCAGTTGACCTCAAGGTTTCTAAATCAGACTGCCACAGCCTTCTCCCATGGAATTCCTGTGGGCTTGAACCAATAACCTTCTCAGCAAGTTCTTTAACCTCTGTGTCACCAGGATATCTTCCAGCTAAAGAAAAGCCTGGTTCTAAGCACAAGTATTAACTTCACAGGTATCAAATTTCCCACTGCCACTGGGTCAGTTCTGACCCTTAGGGCCCTCCATCAGGTCTCTGAGGAGGTAAACCTTCACAGGAAGAAGGCTGCGTGTCTATCCTGTGCAGCAGCAGGGGGAGTTGAACCTCTAAACCTTAGGTTAGCAGCACAGCATTTTGCACACTGTGCCACACGGGCTCTTTATCTGCAGGGCCAGTACCCAGGACCTCGGCACCTACAGGTGAGGAACATGGTTCTATAAAAAACTGTCCATGCAGCTGCAGGGGTGTCAGCACCCCAGGTGTCTCCCTGCATGCTCCCTGGATGCTAGTCTCTAGAAAGTTCTCTGCCGGCACCCCAAGGACCTAGAACCTTCCTCCCCCTGCCCCTGGAAGTGGCTCTCAGATGGTCAAGACTGAAGGGTTGGGGTAGGGACAGGGTGTCAGAGGACTTGGGAGCAGGTTTCTGGAACCCTGAGCTAATCTCAGTTTGGATTTGGGGCTCATCGCTCAGCCTCACTGAGTCCAGAACCTCCTCCTTCCTCGGGAGTTACCTGATGCAGCGCCGTGGTGTGAAGACAGGCTAGAATGAGGAGCTTCAGTGAATCACGAGGGCAGATGAGATGCACTGATGGGCGGTCACTGCACAGTGCTGGCCAGAGCACCACTGAGGGCATAGGTGGACGCTGGTGACACCATGAGGGGACCCGTGTGGAGACCACCGTATCCCACTTGCCCGGATGTTCTGAGTTCTGGTTCTGTGAGTCCAGTGTCCGGGGCATCTCCTGACAGGGGCAGCCTGTGGTGACTGGGTCTCTGCCTTGGTGTCTTTGAGCTTCCCTAGCCATGTACCACTGACTGGTGACTTTAAGGACCAGATACCTAGTGTCTCACAGTTCTGGGGACCAGGAGCCTGAATTGGGGCCCAGCAGGAGCATATCCTCACTGCCTCCCAAGGGGAAGGTCCTGTCTCAGCTCTTCCAGCATGTGACCACCTCAATGTTCCAGGAGTCCAGGCCTTTCCTGCCGGTCCTTGGCTTGTAAATGTCACTTCACACCGAGTCCTGTGTGTCTCCTTGTGTCCTTTTATCTCCCTAGTAGCTTGGGCTGTGTCTGAGCCCCTCCGACACAGGCACCCAGCACTGAGAAGGGCACCTGTGAGCCGTGCCCAGGATTCTGGACACATGGTGGCTGTGAGACCTGGGGGCTTGGCAGGGGGTGCAGAGTTCAGAGCTCAGCTGACCCACCCTGCCTTCTGCCCACAGAAGCTCCAGCGGGAGAAGAACCCCAAGAACCTGAATGACACCGTTAAGGAGTTGTTCAGCGTGGTGCCAGGCGATGTGGACCCCACGCTGGAGAACGAGGCGGTGGGCTGCCGGCGCTGCGCCGTGGTGGGCAACTCAGGCAACCTGAAGGAGTCTCAGTACGGCTCGCAGATCGACGATCATGACTTCGTGCTGAGGTGAGAGGCAGCCCTCAGCCCCAAGTCCCCACAGTACACCTGGGGGCCCCTCCAGTCCCCACAGTACACCTGGGGGCCCCTCCAGTCCCCAAAGTACAGCTAGGGAGCCCTCAGCATGGTACCGCCTACAGAGTCCTCTCTGTTCCCAGCCCCTGAGCTGCACCCGGCAGGCTCCTCAGACCAGAGGAAGAGTCTTGGCTAGGGGGTCAGGAGGTTGAGGTTCCAGTCCTGGTGGGCTCTGGCTCCCCAGCATCCCCAAGCGCGTCCTGCCCGCTCCAGGGCCTCAGTTTCCCTGTCTCTGGATAGCAGGAAGAGCTGGACTGTGAGGCCCTCTCAGTGCAAAGGAGGAAGCCAGGGCTCTGAGGCTGGAATCTTAGCCCCCCAGACCTCGTCAGGGACAGGATACATCTGAAGTACATCTGAAGTTGCTTATTTTCTTTCTACATTTCATCCGCATTTTACAATCTAGACTATAATATACTTCTATTTGATTTTAAGGCAAGATTTATTGTTCCGTATCATCAAGCACAAGTGATTCCGAGAAGGTGCCCATGTCTGTCCTGAATTCTTGGAATAGTGTTCACATCTCTCATGAAAGCCAAGGGCACAGGAGCCCTGGAGTGAGACATGCAGGAGGGCCTGGGGCTGAGGACCCCCTATGTCTCCCACATTAACCTCTGATGTGTCTTCTAGACACTTACAGGGCCCCAAAGGAGGTCTTTGTTGCTTGTGTCCTGTGGGAATGGCCATGGGTGAATAGAGGAAGACTTGACCCTGGAGCCAATGGTCTCATATTCGGGGCTGCCCTATGAGCTCTGTGGCCTTGGACAGGCTCTCTGAACCCTTAACTGTGACATTGACCTGTATGATCACTGGGCAAGTGAATGTGAGATTTAATGCAGCCAGTTGTTTGGCTGTGATGGTTGGTGTCTGGCATGTAGAAAGTGGTCAGCTGATGCTAATGGTGATCACAAGGTTCAGTTGTGATCATTTAAGATCTTTGAACTGTGTCTCCATTTTACAGATGAGCAAAGTGAGGTCTCACCACAGGCGAATGGCGCTAGAGACAGCTCCAGAAATGCTGCCCGGTCACGTGATGCTTGCCTTTCTCTCTCCTCCTCCCAGGATGAACAAGGCCCCCACCGTGGGGTTTGAGGCCGATGTGGGGAGCAAGACCACCCACCATCTTGTGTACCCCGAGAGCTTCCGGGAGCTGGCTGAGAATGTCAGCATGATCCTGGTCCCCTTCAAGATCACTGACCTGCAGTGGGTGATCAGTGCCACCACCAAGGGCACCATCTCCCAGTAAGTGCCCTCCAGGCAGCTCACCTGCACTCCAGCGGGTTCTTCTATCCCTCTACATGCCATCCTCGCTCTGTCTCCCGAAGCACCATCCCCACCACCATGCCCTGGCTCACGCAGTTCTCCCCCGATGGGGCTCTGCACGCCCCTTGGCACAGCCAAGCCCCACCTCACACTGCCTACATGACTGTCCCACCTCCTGTCACCTTCTAACATCATAAGCTGTCATCTTCCTCGTTCTAATAGCACCACAGTGGACCACCAAGGTCTGCTCACCCTAAAACCAGCTCGTGGTGGCCCCTGGCAGTCAGAACAGAGCTGTGCTCCACAGGGCTCTCGACGGCCAGTGTTTTATAGGTTGACCACCAAACATTTCTTCTGGAGTGCTTCTGGGTAGATTTGAACTTCCAACCATTTGTTTAACAGTCAAGCACCACTCCGGGACTCTACACTTCCTGGGGCTTTCCTTTCCTTTGTGAAGTGCACTATGATGTTGACAGATTTGGAGAATAAGACGTGCCTCTCCAGCTTCCCATGGTCCACAAGTCAGGGACAGTGGTACAGCCCCTGACAGAGGCCCTCACTGTGGCATGGTCAGGATGTGCTTTCTTGCAAGGGTGGGGACAATTTCATTCCAGCCCCCACTTGGCCCTTGACACACACCTCTTACGTAGTTTTCACAACAGCCCTTCACAGTCATTGTCATGGTCTTCGACAGATACACTAGCCAAGGCTGACCTCTGCTCACATCCAGGTCCAGCACCTGCATCCCTTGTCATTGTTGTATAGCTCCAGGGTGGAATTGACCCCTAGCTGACCTTGCACCAGGTTTTCAGATGGAGTTTAATTGTGTGGGAAGAGATCACCCATCTTCCTCCTGCACAGCTTCTGGTGGATTCAAACCGCCTGCCTCTGGGATGGCAGCGTGCCTCCTTCCTCCTAGGCCACCAGAGCTCCCTTGCTTTCTGCAAATAAGTGATTTCAGTTCCCAGGTTTCCAAAAGCCTGCTAGTTTAGGTCAAGATTCCCAGAGGCAGAGTCTGAGGCAAAGATTCGTGCAGATGGTTGATGGGAGTGTGGGCACAGAAGGGGTGACCAGGTGGATAGAGACAGCCAGCACCCCAGCCTTGGACAGGGTATCCAGAAGAGAACATGCATCTCAGGATTGAACCCCCTTGAGGCCAGTTGGTCAGCTGCTCTGAGTGCAGGTACTCAGCTAAGAGAGGGGCAGTGTGGTCTTTATCAGTCACTGTCCACCTCAGCTTTGACCCTTAAAGGGAACACACGGCCCTTCGACCTTCACTGCACTTTTTCAGACAAGCCCATAGCAAATCCTTGTCTCTGACAGTTTGAATCCACAAGCTGCTCCCCCAAATGGAGGGTCAGCCATGAGTTGGAACTGACTCTATAACCATGAACTTTTTCCTCCCGTTTTAGTTTTATATTTGTTTGTATACAAAATTCATATACATCATGTATCCATTATGTACATTGCATTTCACGAATTCCCACATTCACATTGTGGCAAATGATCATTCATGTACTTTGTGTTTTATAAAATTGATGGCCTTTGATCTCTGCCTCCTTTTACCCAGTCTTTTCAAGTCTCCATTGGATCTTTCCTTTTTGAAAGAAAGGTGAGGGGCAGAGCAGGGAGACCAGCAGGACCGGGCCTCAGACTAGCCAAGGGAGCCCTCTGGTGTCCACAGTGGGTAGAGTGGCCTGCTGCTGGCAGGAGGGGACTTGGCTGGGAAGGATGGTGGGGACCTAGGAATGAGTGCAGACAGGGTTCTCCCCAACCCACTCAATCCTCTCCCTGCAGCAGTTACCCCAGAGCCACCTGCCCCCTCACGTTAACCACCTGCTCTCTCTCCTCACAGCACCTATGTCCCTGTCCCCACAAAGATCAAAGTGAAAAAGGAGAAGGTAAGTGAACCCATAAACGTTTACTATTGTGGTAAACCCTGGTGGCACAATGGTACTCGACTGATAACCAAAAGGCCTGAGGTTCAAACCCACCACCTAGTCCTCTGGGGAAAGAGGAAGGAAAGAGGAAGCTGTCTGGTTTTGTAAAGGAAGCGGTTCCACTCTGTCCTGAAGGGTCACTGCGGGACCGAATCACCTCAGTAACAATAAGTCAGCTTGAAGTCTTGTGTTGTTGTTGTGTACTCGCGAGTCAGAGTTGACCCCTAGCTGACCCTCCGAGGCACTTTTCATCTCACAGGAGGAGAGTGCCCATCTTTCTCCCATGGAGCAGCTGGTAGGTTTGAACTGTGTGCTTTTGGGATTGCAGTGAAGCTCCTTACTGCTAGGCCATCACTGCTCATGCTCCTTTGA